GAATAAGTGAAATATCTTGCTTGATATATTAATACTTGTATTCTGGAATCTTTTTCAGGGGAAAAACTCTTTACATAGTTGTCATAATCAGGTTTTACTTTTATTATTACAAGCTTTTATTTAACTTGCAATTTAATTTATTCGGGCGGAATCTTGCAACTCAATTTCAAAGGTGATATCTTCAATCGATTGCGCTGAAATTTTGTATACACGCTTATAGTTTGGATGACAATGCATGTTTTGACCATTTATATTCCGGTATTACAATTACTTAAAAATATATTAATTAAGAACCTTAAAACACATAATTGTTTCCCCCTGTTGGTTTTTTATTCTGCCGAGCAGCTTATCGGATTGAGTTTAAAGAAGTTCCGATTTTTCGAAGTTTTTAAAAACGCCATCTAGTCCTTCTATCCAACTCAGACAAAAATAATTTCATAATCGGAAAGATAATTTATTTCGCCACGATACGGTATAATTCTTTTTACAAAATAATGATATTTTCTATTTCTTACGATTTTTTTCTAAAATGAGTCAAAATCGATGTGTTTTATGAAAATGATTTCTAAATCGTTCCGTATGAATTTTTTTTCGTGTTAGTAAATTGATATTCGGCAATAAAAAAGTTCAGGCGTTTCTCTTTTCGAATCAGTCATTTAAAAAATAAAATGCCAATTTTTTTTTTTTAGGAATTTTTAAAAAACACTCAAATTTTTAATTGAACATTTAATAACTTCGTCCTTTTTAAAAATAATCGCACGAAACTTTGTTTTCGTTTGTAGAATAGTACTATCCATATTCTGTACAAAGATTGAAAATATTGGTTAAAAATTACAGAATTTAATTTTATTTTTTTGTGTTTTTCGTTTTTAATGTAGCATTATAGTAACGGGGAAAAAAGAGTTCTAATATTTTTTTGATTAATTTTGCTTTGTCCAATGTTGTTTTGGTCTTACAGTGTTTTTTCCTTCTCCCCATTATCCTCTTGTTGCGTCCCGAGAGAAATATCTATCATATTTATGTGGCCTGTCGGGAAAAAATGAGGAGTACCCCTGAACCAGACTGTTCAGAATTAACCGGCAAACAACCTTGCAACAATGATGTGTTGAATGAGATGAACAGGCTGAGAAATCTGTCCAGCGATAACTAAAAAGTAAAAAATAAATTAATAGTAAAAAAAAAAACCTTTTTTAAAAATAAGATTTTATTTAAATGCGCTAAAAAAATAAAATAAACTGCTCTTTAATTTTTAAAATTTTTTTTTTACTATCAACTTATAACGTCATTACACAATTTATGATATAAAAGCTTGTCACGAGATATACCTGTGTAGATAAACAAGTAAATTAAATAACTTGATCTGATTGATTTTAATTTTTAAACTTTTCAAACTAAGTAAATACGAGTACTTAAATCTCGCGCGACAAGCTTTTATATTATAAATTGTGTTCTGACGTTATAAGTTGATAGTCAAAAAAGTTTTAAAAAGAAAGTTTATTTTATTCTTTTTAGCGGATTTAAATAAGAGCTTGTTTTTAAAAAAAGTTTATTTTAATTTTAATTTTTCATGGAAAGTAGCATAACACCTCATCTATTCTTTATTTTATTTTTAAATTTAAAAAATTTCTTTAAAAATAATATGTTTTAATTCATATAGATCATTTGTAATTTTGTGTTCCAGGAATTTTTAATATTAATACGTATGAAATGCATATTTGTAGGTATTTCTGAATGTTGTGAGTACCTAGAGTGTACTAAATGAATACAACTCATTCCAATACTTTGTTTTATACTGAGCCACTGTATCGGTACTTCAAAGATATCAGGAAGAACATGTGTTCCCCACATGCACACGTAGTTCACATTTGGAAACAGAAACGTTTTACGGCTTGGAGCCTTGGACCTTGGGGGGGGGGGGGCCACCCCTTTCTCCGCTCGGCCTCAAGAAGATAATGATCCAAATAATTTTAATCATCAAATGTTATTTCCGATTGTTTTCTCCGAAAAACTGGGAATTTCAAATTACAGTAGAACCTGTTTTTGTGCGGTCTTTTTTTATGCGATTTCCTTTCCTTTTTGTGCGATCTTTTTTTAATGTGGTGTATGAATTTCAATGTCTTTGGCGCCACTGTAATGTTTTATATCTATTTACTAGTAATGTAACGGAGAATGTAGGGACCTTCCTCTCCCCTGAAAGTCAGGTTTCGCCTTTAATATTTTATAAATTGGGTAAATACATATTTAGCGTAAGTCAGGCCTTGGACCCCTAGAGTCCTGTCCCCCGCCGTGATGCAGGGGTTTACGTTACGCCACTGAAATGTAGACACTTCAAGACGCTCTGTTCATTTTTTATAAACAGTCTCCTGACAATTCGCATTCAGTTGTTTTCTCTCGACGCTCCAGCAGCCGGTGCTTGTTTGAAGACGAAACTTTCAATGACAGTGACATTATCAAACATTTGATAGATTATGAAGGCGGACAAGAAGAACCGGTTTATTTGAGAGTGGATAAAAATATGCAGGGATCCAGCTTTCCAACGAATTGGAAAAGCAATTTCTGCAAATAGATGCCAATTAAGAAAGGAGTATAAAATTCCAAAAAACTCTTTAATCATGCATATCTGGTTATCGTGACATTTACAAGCAACTGTGTGACCACCCGACCTTCGTCACAAAAACTTATCTCTTACTTTATGTAGCCAAAAAATAAATCAATTGAAATTGTACCTTCAAGTGACGAAAGTGATTTTGAACTTTTACATTACAGGGCTTTGGATTACGATGAGTATCAATGAATTATGTATGTGCATTTTGAAAACTTATCTGTGTATACAATGGGAAACTATATGTTTTAAAAATGTTTCCATGTGTAATATTTAATTATATTCATTTGGTTATGGAAGTATTCTTACATAAATTTCTTAAATAATTGGCATATCTTATAAATGCGACTTTTTTTATGTGGTCCCTATCCACCGCATAAAAAAATTCTGTAGTATTTTCACGAATTAGTTTGTTTTATGTAACAAGTTTTGAAATTTTTGATTATTTTTTGTGCGTTTATTTTTATGCGGTTCCTATCTACCGCACAAAAACAGGTTCAACTGTACATGCCAATTGGCTGGACTGCATTAAGTCATGTACATCATACATGCTCAGGCCGAAGCCTTCCACCATATACCATCATTACTCATTTAGTTGAAAAGTAGCAGTGGGGCTTGCACCTAGGTTTATTAGACTGGGAGTCAAGCAGATTTATTTGTTATGTGTTACTGTTTGTACGAGTATTTAGCAAGCTATTCTATTTACTTTATTTTTAAAAGGAACACAGATAAGGATTTCTTTTGCTTATACTCAAGGTCTTAAGGACGTGATTCCTTGTAAATGAATTATTTTACGCATTTGTGTACCAGCACTGCCATCTATATTAAATACCCCAATAAATAATTATGCTTCCTCTTAGAAATATATTTAATTAAAGTATTAAAAAACATTTAAGAAGTATAAACAATATCTCAGTGCGTTTACAAAAAAGAAGTTTTTGTGCACAATAATACTATACATTTCTTGTAAATTTGATTTAAACATCAAAGAGAATTTGGAAACCAGCAAAAGAATTATTTAGGCTTAGAAAATTTAGAGAGATTTGGTTATTTATGATAAAAAAAGTATTGACTATTATCTTCTTATATTGTATCATACAGAAAAACTTTGACTTGTACTCGTAACACATATTTTATTTAGCATAGTCTTATACATCTCCACACCTATACACACATTGCATTCTAAAACACACTTTAAAATGTTATAGATTCTAAGTTCTCATTAAAGAAGCTTTCAGCAAGTTTTCTTATCATTATTGTTCTCTTCCATATACTGTCGTTCAATTAAAAAAAATATTCAACATGCTAGATAAATCTTCCTAATACTAAGAATGAAAACCGAAGGCTCAAAAGAATGAAGTGAGAATGCAACATGGGTGTGTCGCAACCACTCTAATATTGCATTCTAAAACACGCCTCCTGTGGTGTCTATATCCTGTTCTTGCCTCCTTTTGTGTTTTCCAGGTGCTAGAAAAATGCATTGAATAGAATAATAGAGAAATCGCTAGAGGTGTGTCTCCCTCATAACCCGTTAGGGTGGTTATTTTTGAAGAATTTTTCTATTTAACGTTTCTCAGTAGCCAAATGATTATGACAACACATTTTTGGGTGGGGAATCTTCAAGGTTAAGTTGACTCTTGTAAAAGGGCCAGAAATTTTATAGGGCTACTTGTGCAGCACAGAATAGGAGAAGACATTTGGGAGCTGGTTCTGAATGAAAATTCTTTGGGTCCCGTTACACGAAGACAACTGGAGCTCCTTGCTGTGAAGCTTTGGAAAATCACGATCTCTTCCCTACTAGTTGATTCAACTAATATGATATCGTAGAAGATATGCTCTTCATACGAGGCTATTTGTGTATTGAAAATGGTGATAGCTTTATACTTTTACTTGTTTATAATCTCATCGATATGATTTTCGCTACGGTGTTTGCTTTTCATTCAACTTTGCGTGCGCGTGTGAAAGGAATTATCCACCCTCTTCACATTAGAGGAGTTCACTGACAGGTTCTGAGTTCAGGTTTATACTCTGGTTTTATCATAGATTCGCCATGAATATAATAACGAACTATTGTCTTTTAGTGAAATTGGGCATCAAAGAAACCACGTGGCATGTATAAATTAAACAAGTAACGTAAAAAACTTTTTAAGTAAATTCCTACTTAGGACACAACAAAGAATTTTATTTCAGTTAATTAATAGTTACAATTAATATAAATATGTATATACATATGACAGAATCATAATATTAAGTGACAAAATAGAAAGCTATTTTCCTTGCAATTTTTCTTTCTATATAGGGTGTTGGCCTATTTTTTTTGTTTGTTGCTATTTATTCATTGATTTAATTATTCCAATAAAAAATATAGTATATGAAATCACATTCTCAGAAATTAGGCCATCCCAGGTGGGATTCGAGCCCACGACATTTGGGTTAGAAGCCCAATGCGTTATTCATTGCGCTACAGGGACACAACGAGCGATTTTCCTTTTTGTATATGGTGTTAGAGTATTATTTTTGTTTGTAACTATTTATTGATTAATTAAATTAAATTAATGAATTAATGTTTCAAAAAACTGTATTAACATCAAGTGTCATCCACTACAAGTTTTAAAAAATGTATTTGAACTTGAGTGGATGAATAAAAAGTATTTTATCAACAATTGGAAATTTGTACAATATATATTTAAATAAATATAGGGAGAGTTGGAACTAATTTATTAATTGTACTATTAACAGAAATATATTAATTGTACTGTTATATCCTCGTCATTAGGCTATAAATAAATCTAAATTACGAGCTTTATTGTCAGTAATTCTCATCCAGCAACAGATCGATAGTAATTCTAAGCAACGAAGTAGTTAGGGTTTGATATTTAGAGAAGGTAGCTATGAAAAATAAATGGATGAAATAAAGCAAAGGATTTCTTTTCTTTTTTTTTTGGAACGAATATTTATTTCAAATACGGAAAAGATCGAAAATTAAAAGTAAATTCACAGGCGTAGAGAATATAAGCAGATAAACATGTTGTACAGGTATTGAAAAATATGGGAGAAAGGAAAAAACAAAGTAAAATCTCAAAAATTTTCCTTACGTTCTAGTAATTAGAAAATATATTAAAAATGGAGGGGTCCTTTCATTGAGTTGATGTAATTTTTTTTTTCATAAAGAGTAGTTATCTAAAATCTGTTGAATATGTTTTCACCGCTGAAGCTAAAAAATATAAATTTCAATTTTAAAATCAATATTCAAGTTATACTTTCCTTTGAAATCGTATATAATCATAGACAAAACAAGCTTTAAGCAAAAAACTATGCAGTAGGTGTATTTTCAAAAAATGAACCCAAAATCCTTTTGAAACTGTTATAAAGAGGAATGGAGTCCTTATTTCTTGTGTTTTCTTGGAAAGTCATATTGAACAAACCCTGAATGGGAATGATTGAGATTATTTTTTGGAGTAAAAAATGTCACTAATATAGATAAAGAAAAATTTGTGAAACCATATTAAAAATCAAATATGTGCAGGGGATATATTTATGAAAATTTGCAGGAATAAATAGGTTTTGCTTCATTTGATGACGTTTTCTCCAGACGTTTTCTTTCTTCAATCTTGGTCTTTTTCGAAATATTAAACTTTTACAAATATGACACACATTTGTGATAGTATTTTAGTCTATAAACTTAAAAACCACTCCACGCAAATCCTATAAAATCCAGTTCAATTATCTGCTTCAAATCTAAGAAACTTGTGCAGATATTACTGCTAAAAGGCCGAAAACAGTCAATCTGAATATTAATTAGGGAGATTCGTTAAAGTTGTTTCGGCTCTCTCCGCGTCCTTTCGATTAACAATTCTTGGGAAATCTTTGGTCCTTTAAAACTATTTTATTTGCACCGAACCTTCTGAAGAAGAGAACGTGATTATGTAAATTAAGTCTACTATATAGTCTAAGCTTTCAAGTTAAAGAAAAAGAAAGTGAGAGAGATAGAACAGATTACTAGCGGATCAGTGATTAATCAAATTGATAGTGTAACGCATATATTTGATAATTGTAATTATTAAGGGGAGTAAGAAACCTCCATAACGACAATGTTGAATTGGCTGTTTTCGATGTACCTTTTCTCAAAATCTGTTATGCGTACATTTTTGAAATTTTTCATGCAATTTAAGTACACCCTTCTGATTATATTGAAACGAGCTTTTAGCTAATTTTGGAATTTTTTCGTAATTTATAAAATATTTTATCAAACATAGTGAAATTTGACCCATTTTTCACATAAGAAAATTTGTAAAAAATAAATTTTTCAGTTTTTTACAAAAAGCTCATTTTAGTATATATTGGCCACCATTATAAATATATCATAAAAAATTTATATACCTGTGAACAGTAGTTTCTCAGAAAAGGTACATCGAACATCAAAATTTACATTTTGATATAAATTGGTTTTAATGTATACAGTGGGACTTCACTCGGATAGGAAATAAGAAAAAAGATAGCTCAATTTACAATAAAAGATACATGTTTTGGTTTATATCAGACGTTCAACTTTAAAGCAAAAACGAAGTACTTTGTTTACATTTTTCTCCATTCAAATGGGCGTGGCCCAGTTTCAACGATTATTTAAAAATAGGTTTTAAGGACTTCTAATTACCCTAGAGATTAAAGTAAGGTATTTTTAGAAAGGTTAAAATCTATACAATTTGAAAATATAAAAATCTGAAATTGTAAAAAAAAAATAAGATTTTAGTTTTCCAACACCCCTTAAAGTGACGATTGGTCACTAGAGATTAGATAGCTAAGAAAGTAGATTTGAATCTAAAGTAAGTGTACTGATTTTCAAAATCTTCTCATATTTTGCGTACCTCGTTATTTATCTACGTATGGCTTCAATTGGGCGCATCTCTTAATTTAGATTGCTTGAACTTGTGTTGTTGATTGTGTGACAAATATGTTGAGTAATTTTAGATATGGCTGGTCTTCCTTCCCTTCCTCCCACATCTCTAGGTGTGAATGAGAGAACCTTACAAAGTGCAATTTTTTTTTTTCATTTTACAAATTATTCAGGTAATCTACGAATTACCTAGATGATCTGCTGATTACTTACTATACACTACGAACGTTGGTGGATCAACAGTAATGTTTCTGGACGCTTAAATGATGTTTATTTATTTTTTGATGTTTATAGAATCAAGTAAAACAATAGATCAGTCAACACATTATTTAATAGAATAATTAATCATCAGACAATTAAAAAAACTACAATACACAGAATTAAACAGTTAATATAAATTTCCTTAAATTTTAGTAGTATTTTAATGTTACTGAATTTTGATATCTAAACAATCACATTAACACAATTAGCAAAAAACAAATTAGTTGAAAAGAACCAATCATAAATCAATTGAAAAATTGTAATACAAATAATCGCAAGGTTTATCACATTACATTAAAGAAAATTAATTTAAGGGATTTTTTTTATCGACTGTGTGTGTATTACCTGTCACTGTAACTCTCTTTCTAAATGTTTAAAATAAGTTATTCTGGGATAAGTCAAACGTTCCTGACAGAAAAGAAATGAGAGAAACGAACTTTCAAACTTTAACGAGATAAAGAAGCCATTTATGTTAAGATAACCTAGCAGAAATGTGTGTGTGCAGAAAACTCTTGTTTCTGTACTTTAAAGGGGGGCAAATAAGTTAATCTGCACATTAATGACTTTTAAGACGTATAAACATACATAACGGTAACATATATACGAGGGGGATTGATAAGTAAGGTCTCCAATAGTATAAAATAAGTTTCCGACAAGGTATAATAATAATAGCGGTATCAGAATGAAGGAAATGCATTACTCTTACATATTGTGTGAACTCATTTCTCAACATAGTCACCACTAACAGGTTCATATTTGTTAAATCATTCTATCCCTTTCTTCATTCCGTCCATGTAGAAATATTCTGGTTGCATAAGTATACATTTGCGCATGATTGCCTGAACTTCGGCATCCGTTGAAGAACGTTGGCCTTTCAATGTCTCCTTCAAGTTTGGGAACAACCAAAAGTCCGACGGTGCCAAATCTGGGTTGAAAGGATGTGATACCGCCCCGCCCCCCTTTGGTGACCGTATCTTTGATTGTCAGCGTGAGCTAGAGGTGTAGGGTTTGTAAAAGGAATAGACATTTTAAATTCTTAATATGACTTTATTAAGAATAGAACTTAAATGTCTAACAATTTACATAAATTTAAACGAGTGAGAATCTATAATGAACAACACACACAATGATAGTTAAACCGAATCACGTAACTTAGACTACTTCCTCTATTTGATTATTTAATCCGCCTACTTGCACTTCTAATAGTATTACAATCTTAATATCAAATAATCAGTCCTACCTTAATCCCAAACTTAACTTCAATCTTTATATGGAAACGTCTGGGCGCGCGTGCAATGGTATGCACCTTGTAGCAATGGCTGGGTTTCCAGGTAACTTAACGATAGGCTGTCAATTCACGCTTGTATGACTTCCAAACATAACATTCCCCAACTTGCCATATCGCTTACTGAAACTTCTGCTCTTTTAAAAGTTATCTTATTTGCATTTCTTGTTCACATTTCGCTTCTTGGGTTTTGGTTGGAAAAGAGTTGCCATTAATCTTGGCCACCAAAGAACCCAGAGGATATGTTAAAGAAAAGACGCGTGAGCCCGTCGCAAGGAAGTTGTGGAACAACTGTGAATTTCAGTTTTTCCAAGGCATCCTGTGTTCGTGCACTGCAATATAGTCTTACATTGTCGTGATGTGAAAGAAAAATGTTTCTTTCCGTTCTGATTCGGCGAATGTGTTGCTTGAGGAATCGTAATGGTGTACAGTACTTGTCGGAATTCACCGTCAATCTTTTAGTCAGAAATTTCGTGAAGAGCACACCATTTGCATTCAAAAAGATGATGAGCATGACTTTTGTTGCTGACATTAAAGATTTGAATTTTTCGATACTTGGAGAACAAGGATGACGATATTCCATGTTATCTGGGTCATAATGATGAAGCCAGGATGCCAAAGTCCAATCAGACGCTCTCAAATGGATACGCAGCCAAACAGAAACTTTCTTCATGGACGGAATAAAGAAATGGATAGAACAATTAAACAAATGCGATCCTATTAGTGGTGACTATGTTGAGAAATGAGTTTACAATATATAAGTGTAATAAATTTTCTTCATTCTGATACCTCTGTTATTATTTTATCTTGTCGGAGACTTATTTTATACTATTGGAGATCTTACTTATGAATCACCTCTCGTATATCATTCTCACATTCTTGGTAGAAATAATTCTCTTTCATATCCTTTCAATCCCAAATACCTCATTCCTGCCACAAACCTATACCATTGGCCAATAAATTAGGGATATTCAGAACTATGCTGATATCGTTGGTGTCTTTTTTTGAATACCATTTGTTACTACCTGGGT